ATTAGTGACACGAGAGGACACTGAGGGGGTGAGTTGTGGAGTAGAAAGATAGATTTGAGTGTCATCAGCATAGAGATGGTATTGGAAGCCATGTGAGGTTATTAACTGACCAAGGGAGGTGGTGTAGATAAAGAGAAGAGAAGGGGTCCAAGGACAGAGCCTTGGGAGACTCCTACAGAAAGAGGAAGTTGAGGGGAGTAGTTAGAATTGTAGGTGACGCTAAAGGAGCGCTTAGATAGGCAGGAGGAGAACCACGAGAGAGCAGAGTCTTGTAGCCCAAGTGACTGGAGTTTGAGGAGGAGTAGGTGGTCAATAGTGTCAAAAGCAGCAGAAAGATCTAATAGCAAGAGTAGGGAATAGTGGCCTTTGCTTTTAGCAGTGAGTTTTAGGAGGGCAGTTTCAGTGGAGTGTAGGCGGCGAAAGCCAGATTGTAAGGGGTCAAGAAGGATGTGATCAGCGAGGTGGTGACTTAGGCGGCTGTAGATGAGGCGTTCTAAGAGTTTAGAGGTGAATGGGAGTAAGGAGGTCGGTCTGAGATTATTGAGGTCGGTACGGTCCATTGAGGGTTTTTTGGGTATTGGGGTGACCAGGGAATGCTTCAGAGGGGAGGGAAAGATTCCAGTAGAGAGTGAGAGATTGAAAATGTGAGCCAGAGAGTCTAGGATAGAGCAAGAGGGTGACCGAAGTAGCGGTGAGGGAATAGGGTCCAGGGGGCAAGTGGTGAGGTGGGTGTCAGAGAGAAGCTTTGTAACCTCCTCTGTGGTGACAGGGTCAAAAGAGAATAATAAGTGTGAAGGAGGGTCTGGTACATGAATAGGGGAAGGTGACTGCACAGTGGTGATCTGATCCCGAATTGCATCTATTTTGTTTTTGAAGTGAACGGCAATGTCCTGGGCAGTGAGCGGGTTAGTGGGTGGTGAACAAAGTAGAGAGTTAAAAGTAGAAAAGAGTTGGCGAGGTGTGGATGAGAGTTTGTTAATGAGAGTGACAAAATACGTCTGTTTGGCAGTACGGAGGAAGGAATTGTATTTTAGGAGGGCCGCTTTGTACAGGGTGAAGTCTTGCAGAGATCTAGTTTTTCGCCACAGTCGTTCAAGAGTGCGGCTATGTCTCTTGAGATTTTTGGTTTTATTTGTTTGCCACGGCTGTAGCGGACGTGGTCTAAGTCTGCGAGTAGTGAGCGGAGCCAAGTTGTCTAGAGAAGACGAAAGTGAGGTTTGTAAACACTTTGAATTGATCGAGAGCACTGTAGTAGTTCAATAATTAAATTAATCCTCAAAAATACAACTTGCCTAATAATTGTGCAGGCAGTGTATATGGGGTCAAAGATTGATAAGGCTTCTTTCCTGCAACAATTTCTGATTGACTGGCTGCAGTCACTGTTCGTCCAACAATTTTCAGTTCCTTTGACAAAAGTTGATAAAGAAGCGAAGAGAACTAAAACAGAAGCATGTCGAAAAAGTTTACAGGGCTGTCTAAAGGACCTATAGACTGAAAGTGGCATCTGAAAAGGCCTAAACATCCATCTAATAGAACTTGACAAAGGTGTGTGCAGATGACCAAGTGTCAGCCTGACAGATTTGGGAAGTTGAATACTGGGACTGAAAAGCCCAGGAAGCGCTAAGATATCTAGTGGGACATGCCAGGACCATAAATGGAGGAACCTCTCCCTCAGCTCCTAGGCCCGAGAGATGGTTTGACAAAAGCAACCTAGGATAACAGAGTCAGACGTGGAAATAGCAAGTCACAGTAAACTCTGACTGCCAGAACTACATACAATCAGTATAGGGATTTTTATTTCCTTTTGATGTTGTCCTGGTTATGGAGGAAGCTTGAGACCAACTTAGTGAGAAAAGGAGGCCTTACACCTCACCAATTTATCCTTACAGATGGCAAGAAAAGGCACCTTGCACAACAAGGTCGCCGATTCAGAAAACACAAAAAGCAACAGTGTTATCTACAACGAAGGCTGATAAATATCTCCGATAGGCTCAAAAAGGGACTTCTGAAGGGCCGAAAGAACCAGACTCAGGCCACTTGGAGTCACCAGAGCACAGAGGTAAAAAAAAAAGTGCTACCCTCTAGCACAACGGCCATCAACCATAAGTGAGAGGCAAGTGGTCCCTAAAAGATGATCGCCAAGCCACATATCTGACCCCAGATAGTACTAACCGCTAAACGTTGGTCCAGGCCAGACTGGAGGATGGATAAAATGGGTCAGATGCATTACTTCCTAGGAAGAAATTTCCTGGCCTCGCACCGAGCAAAAAATGTCATCCAGGTGCCACAATAGACCTTATGAGTCTAGCCCTAAGAAGCGTTTAGGTGATAGCGTGCGAAAGGCCTCTGTTCCTCAGGACTTGGGCTTTAACAGGCATGCCATTAAAGCCAGCAACAAAGAAACAGGGTGGAGTACTGGTTCTTGCGACAGTAGGTCTTGGTTGTCCAAAGGTGCCCATGGAGAGTCTTCCAGGAGTTTAACCAAGTCCATGTGCCAGGGCCTCCTGGCCCAGTTGGGAGCAATGAGGATTACCGGGGTGCCCATCGTCTCAATCCTGCGAGAGAGGCGAGGCAAGACTTTTAGAGAAGCAAAGGCATAGATCAGTGTGAACTGATACCTAGTGAGCGTTAGAGAATCACCTGCACACCACACAGCGCTTGAATCAAACGAAATGTCCGTTGGTGCTCGAAGTGATGACACAAACGGCGCCGTGCTACAGTTCAAGTAACGATAGAAGTCACCAGCACTCACTTGTGTGCACAAAGGATAGCACTTTTATTGATACGTCACATGCGTCAAGCCAACGTTTCGGGGGTTGTGACGATGTCGCCCTGAAGGGACCTTGCGCAGCCCGGAAACGTATCAATAAAAGTGCTTTCCTTTTTGCACACAAGTGAGTGCTGGTGACTTCTATCTTTACCGATACCCAGTGAGTCACCAAGGTATCCAGCACAAAAGCTTGTGGATCTCTTCCTGTTGACAAATCTGCTCAGTGAAAAATACTTTAAGGGAAAGAACTTCTCTCAGAACTAAGACAAGATGTCTATCCCTAAGGACACTACAGTGTTAGGGGTTGGAGCTTCGGGTGAGTATAACTTTGCTATTTTCCTCCCTAGAGAAAAACTAGCATTTTTTTCCCCCTAGAGTTCCTTTAATAGGACAGTTACACAATTACCTAAAAAAAGTAAAGCTGGCCATACATACGCCAGTAGAATTTAGTTTAAAACAATTTTTTTTTCAGAATGTTAGTTTGATTTGGCAATAGATAATTGGGTCAAATCAATGATTATTCTCAACTGTAGCGACAGATAAAAAAATTGAGGGATGAAAAGTCTTTCTCGCACGATTTAAATTTAAATTCTAACAGTGTACGTGATTTTCTTTCGGTAAACCCCATCCATTCCAAAAATCTAAAGTTCAAACCAAACTAAATTTCCAACAACGTTCGTCAGGTCTCCGATGACATTATCAAATGTTGTGCGGAGACTTTTCATACAAACATTCAGCTAATGGTCAGTTTACGTTTTGATAACACAATACACATTGTCAGCAAGCCCTGCATTCGTACTATAGTAGATGTCAAACAAAGATACACTTCATCATGACACTTTCTCTCTGGCCCTTTAAAAACATTGCCGCGCACAGGGCCTGTGGGACGTAAAGGGAAAAGAAGGGGGGAGCAACAGTTGCTATCGAGCGGGTAAACGCTGTGTGGTTTGTGATTTTTCTCTAGCCCCAGCAGCCAATAGAAAATCAAGGCCTTATTAACTCCTTGAACGCCTGGGGCGGGAATGGATAAAAATAGATTTGTTTCTTATGAGCGGACAAAAATCATAATATGGGTACGCTTCTAACGTGCTGTTACATCATTTTTTAGCACTCATTAAAATGGGAGGTGCCAAAACACACCGAAAAAAACAAAACATGGACACTCGGACGAAATCACACAGGCAGTAAAAGGTATAAAACCCCCATGCTTCAAAACACACAAACGTTACATTTGCTTTTAACAGTCATTAAAATGAGACCTCCGGGAATGACAAATTCTAAAAGAAGAAGATACACGAATGGCAATGGAGCACATCTATGCAAGTGACAGCTCCAGCTGATGGATGCAGCCACAAAGCTGAGCAGGTGTACAAATATCCAGGTATTTTGTACATAAAAGGAACACATAGCATTAGAATAGGTCATGTACATTAGGAAAAGAAGAAGTGCAGCTTCCATAATACAGGTTTTACAAACAAATACATGGAGCAAGCCCAGGTTTCCTGTGACCACTGCACATACACAGCACATAGCAAAGGGCTGGGTGCACACTCTCCTATGCCAGCATTACCATAAGCTTATTAACCACTTAGGGCTGGACAAATTCTTAAGGAACCGTCTGTCCAATCCAGGAGCCAGCAGGGTTTATTTTGAAGCGCCAGCTCCCAAGGCGACAACTAGAGGAAACCTAAAAACTTGGGCGCCGGCTGTCATTTGGAAGGTGCATTGGCTACCTGGCTTCCAGGGATTTGTCCAGCCCTGACAAAATGGGGCAGGAAGGGTGTTACTAGGCTTGAATTCACCTACCATAAGCCTGATGTTAATTACATAATCCAAATGCCAAGTTGGCACATACACCAATGACAGCAACCAATCAGACTACATGGTACTATGACCAATACACAGGCACTTCCACCAAAATGATCGGATAGGAAACAAAATCAATTTTGATGGTAACAAAATGTAACAATAGGCACACACAAAGTCACATCTCTACATTACTGACAGGCACAACGGGCTCTCAGCGAATAGGGTGGGAAGCATGTGAACCTTTATGGCATAATAAGGAAATAAAGCCCTGCAATGTGCCTGTTCAGATCGATCCATCGTATAAAAATAGGTGGGCAGTGTTGTGTAGTGGGAAGGAGAGGCCAATCCGCCAGGCGAACAAAGCTAGCTCCCCCTGCTCCCTCCCCGCGGCCTTCCCCATAGCAGCAATCCTCGTACTCACGTAGATAGGCAGCGGCCAAGGATAGATGGCAGGCTCGGCTCCCACCGGCGATTTAAGCTTGAGTTCTAGCTTCTCGCCCATGTCCTGAGAGCATACTAATCCCAATGCGACGGCCCAGCGGAGTAACACTGATATATCCAAGAATAAAGCTCGGTTTTTTGTGGGGCGGGTGAAAACCTCGGATGGGGGGGGGGGGGGGGAGCGGTAAGGAGGGGCGTGGGAGATACACGCCTTCCGGGAATGAAATAAATAATCTAGTGAGGCGTCCTCATTTAGCCTCTTAGCCTTAAATGTGACTGTTATAGGCACACAGCGACGGTCAGGTAACGATATTTTCGGCTGTTATAGACGGTCAAGGGTCTGGTTTTGTTAATGGGTGCGCCCATGAAGGACGAGGTAGTGCAAGGCTTCCTGCACGTTTTGCTATACAGTCAAAGCAATATGGTTGTTTGAGGGCAATGGACTGTACCAAGTTTAATTGATGGGCGTGCGACACGCTCTTCTAAGCAGGAAAAAAATCTAATTTGTTGCTGTGAAGTCCAAACTACAGAAGTAAATGTATGTAGGCAGGGTACACAGCGTGGCAATAATGCCTTTGTGCTCCAGTGCAGTGAGAAAATTCATTATCCGAACGTTTGTGTGATTTTCTAAGTGTTAATGGTGTCCAATTGATAACGGCGAAAAAAATCGAAGGAGCAGAATATAATTTGTTTTTCCCGAGCAAAATGTTCATAGTTGTTGCTTCTATTTGAGAAATTCTGTTAATTTCAAAAATGAAATTTCCAACAACATTTGATAGGTCTCCGATGGCATTATCAAATGTTCTGATGAGATTTTTCATATCAACGTTTGTACAAAAGTCTACCAGTGCATGGCCATGTGTAAATAAGAGGGTTTTTCCCCATAGTTCTCCTAAGGGTCACGGGAGAACACAAACTAGTGTTCTCCCGTGACCCAAAGCTCAGTATGCCGCAGCCGGGACGGATCACAACAATACTGTCTGGATCCACCCAGCCGAGGGATTGACAGCTGGCTCTGGCTATCCAGAGGCAGGGCCAGCTGTGCCCGCCCCTTCCCCCGTCCATTTCGCAAGTCAGCGCTGGAGGGGAGGGGGGGATCCCTGCAGGGAGCCGTGAGTGACAGTCACGGCTCTCTGCAGGGATAGATCGAGAAGTGAGCGAGCGACGGTATGTGTTCGCTCACTTCCCGATCTACTGAGCCGACTCACAGTTTTACATGCTGGTTTGTGAGTGTGCCATGATACCTTTCTACTGTTTTACTGTTCAAAGACCATTTTGTGTGCACCTTACTGTATAGCCGGTGACAAATTGTTGAGTGCGTTTGTCATTTGTTTTGCTTGACCGATTTGGTGCAGTGTCGCATGGGGGTTCTCAGCTGCCAATAGGATGTGCGGGATCCCTTGTGTGTTGCTGTGCCTTTAAGGAGGTGGGGCTTCCTCCTGACAAACCTGCACCCAATTTGATATCTTCTGCCCCCATGTGCTCCAAGATGGAGACTCTCATAGTTTAGAGTTAGGACCGCACTATAAGAGGTGGCTTGGCGCGGCTGTGCGACTTTCACATTTTCTGCAGAAGACGTGTATCCAAACCTCTGTTATTAACCTTAGTGGTGAGACAAGTTGTTTTACATGCTGGTTTGTGAGTGTGCCATGATACCTGTCTACTGTTCTACTGAGCCGACCTGTGACAGTTTCATTGTCACAGGTCGGCTCAGATTATGAGGCAGCGTGAAAATCACTCGCCTCATAGTTCTCCTTTTAACTGAAGATGAAAAGCCTAAATTACATTTAAAAAAATGGAACATATCTTATTGTTGTCCTCCTATATACACCGATCAGCCTTAACATTATAACCACCCACCTAGTCCACTAGACCTCTAAGGTAGCGATACACTGATATTTTTCGAGTACTAATGCCGATACTTGGCATTTTCATGAGAACTACCAGGGTTGCAGCAGGGACCTGGTTCTGGCGCTCCACCACTGTCCTGAAATCATTAGCCTGTATTGTTTTAGAAAAACTGTCACATGACAATAAACAAAAATGTATCAGTACCCGTACTTGGGCAAGTATCAGTACTTGCAAAACTGGTATCGGTGCATCCATTTTATTTAAATTTATAAAAACAAAATCATACATTAAAACAGAGATGTACAAATTCCAGGAGCTCCGTGTGCTCCTTACAAATGACAGCTGCCTCCTAACATTTGAATTTTTCTCTAGTCTTGGAGCTTGAAAAGTATCGGTACATGTACTTGTACCGAGTACTGCACTTGGTATCGATGCATCCCTACTCTAAGGGTATGCTGTGGTATCTGCCACCAAGCCGTCAGTAGCAGATCCTTTAAGTCCTGCAGGTTGCGAGGTGAGGCCTCCATGGAACGGACTCGTTTTCCAGCACATACCACAGATGCTCGTTTGGATTGAGATCTAGAGAATTTGGAGGCCAAGTCAACACCTCAAATTCTTGGTCGTATTCCTCAAACCATTCTTGAACCGTTTCTGCAGTGTGCCAGGGTGCATTAAGCTGCTGAAAGATGCTACTGTCATCAAGGAATACCATTTCCATGAAGGGGTGTACTTGGTCAGCAACAATGTTTAGATTGGTGGTATGTGTCAAAGTAACATCTGCATGAATGGCAGGACCCAAGGTTTCCCAGCAGAACATTGCCCAAAGCATCACACTGCCTCCGCAGGCATGCCTTCTTCCCATAGTGCATCCTGGTGCCATCACTTTCCAAGGTAAGTGACACACTCACACTGGCCATCCACATGATGTAAAAGAAAACATGATTAATCAGACCAGGCCATCGTCTTCCATTGCTCCGTGGTCCAGTTCTGATGCTTGTGTGCCCATTTTAGGCACTTTTGGCGGTGGACACAAGTCAGCATGGGCAGTCCGACCAGTCTGTGGCTATCCACACAATTCTGTCTGTGTCATTTACAATTCTGTGTCACCTACAATTCTAATTCTTACCATCTTGTCTTGAATTGTATTGTAACTGTAATGTCTTCCTTATATTGTAAAGCGCTGCACAAACTGTTGGCGCTATATAAATACTATGTAATAATAATAATATCCAGCCTCATACGCAACAAACTGTGATGTACTGTGTATTCAGACACCTTTCTGTCAGAGCCAGTATTAACTTTATCAGCAATTCTAGCTACAGTATCTCTTTTTTGGATCGGATTACGCAGGCCAACCTTCACTTCCCATGTGCATCAATGAGCCTTGGCCACCCATGATCCTGTAACTGGTTCACCGGTTTACCTTTCTTAGACCACTTTTGGTAGGTCCTGACCACTGCAGACTGTGAACATCTCACAAGCACTGCAGTTATGGAGTTGCCCTGACCCAGTCGTCTAGCCATCACAATTTGGATTTTATCAAAGTGGCTCAAATCGTTACGCTTGCCCATTTTTTTCTGCTTCCAACACCTCAACTTCAGGGACAAAATGTTCACTTGCTGACACTTCCAGGTGCCATTATAAGGAGATAATCAATGTTATTCACTTCACCTCTTACTGGTCATAATGTTAAGGTTGATCGATGTATAGTCATATAATTACTTTTCTAAGTATCACAAGGAACAGGGCTAACCCTGTAAGAGATGATGGGATTTTCCTGGATTACAACAGCTGACAGCTAGAAGAAATGAGATGAATACAGATTTGACAGGGGAGAACATGGTCAAGGACAAGCAAAAATCATGGGAGGCAGCAAACAGAAATCATACAAACAGGTTAATGTTAGGGCAGGTAGCAGACAGGAATTATTCTCAGTTCCTGACTCAGGAGTCATTAAGAGTCAGGAACTGAGAATAAGGATTAAAATCTTTGTTCGGGCAATTTCCAATTGGACTAAGCGAGTTTGAATATGTTTCCTGGACATGAAATCAAAGGAAGTACATAGCTGCACTTCTCACTATAAGCGATTAAAGGGTGCTCAGGAACTCCCAAACACATAGACTGAGTAAGTTTTGGCACAAGTTCCCAGGGAGAAAAAAAAAATACCTTGCACAGAGGAAGAGGAAGCATCAGCAAGAATGGGGCTCAAGTGAGAAACAAGCTGATTCTGCAGCGACTTGCCTGCAATAGAAATTACTGCTAACACCAGCACAGGTCAGTTCTGAAAAGACTAAACTGTGATAAACCCCCATTTTGGGCCCCTCCCAACAGGGCCCCCAAGGCATACTGGTAAATGAATGCTGGAAAGTGTTTAACCAAATGAGGAGTATGAAGATCTTTAAGAGGAACCCAAGTAGGTTCCTTAGAGCCAAAATTCTTTCAATGCCCCTGATACTGGAGTTGTCCTCCTGTCACGATCTGGAATCAGGCTCAGAGTCCAGTAGCTGAAACAGCAGGCAAATTTGTGGTACAACAGGCCGAGTTTGGTACACAAGCAGACGGTAGTCGTATAAGAACAGGCAGAAGCGTAGTCTGCGAACAAGCCGAGGTCAGTAGCCAAAGGTATCCGGTATGAAGCAGAAGACAATGAGAGTAGTCTGTGAATCAGCAGCCAAAGGTCAGTACACGGGTAGCAGTATTAGAGGATTGTATCACAGAAGGAACAGGAAGCAAAATATTGGCAGGAGCACAATAATCTGGCAAACAGGAAGTGCAGAGGCATGGCTAAAATAGGAAGTTCAAGGGAGGCGCAAGGAGTTCAGAGTTCAGCAGAAACTAAGTTTACCTGAGGATTACACATGAGAGCAGGCAAGGAGCTATCCAAGGTTTCAGAGTGGCTCAGCAGGTAGAGCCACCACCAGACACAGCAGAGGCCCTCTGCAGATCTGGATACTGACACCTCCAGTTTGTATTGAATTTACAGAGATGGGACCTGGTGGTGTGGAGGGCTTGGGAGTAATAGTTGAATAAAAGGGGTTTTAAAGAAGAAACATAAAATCAGACAGGAATCATGACTTAAGTTAATCCTTTCCCAAAGCAGTTGCAGTTTGTTCCGAAGTTCTGTCGAAAACTCCAACTCCTCGAGATCTCCAATGACCTGACTTTCGGTTTAGTTAGAAGAGGTTTGGCCGAGAAGGCTCTACTGCACGTGCCCCATCCGCGGCATTTCCCTTGCGGCCATATTGAGTGGGGCAACTCAGATTAATAAAGTGCTGGA